TTAGTTTAGTCTGTGGATGTTATTGATGGGGACAGTTCTCCTTCTTGGAGGGTCAGACTCAGCCTTCCCCACATTGCCTTTGCTCCTTTGACAGGCAGCATTATGTTGCACTGCTGTATCTCCCTTAAAGATAGATTCTGCTCTGAGGAGCAGTCTCCCGATGACTTCTAAATGCTACACACTTGGAATGGACCAAGTTCACACTTTCCTCACACTGTTCTTCACAAGGAAGTGGTGGTAGAAGTGGGATCTCTCTGTTAGGGACAGAATCGTTGCAGAAAATCTATGATCTGAACCCCCCATCAGGTTGGCTGAGACCTTCTCTTCACTGCTCCCTCGGGCAAGGCTCTTCCTAATCCTTCCTTCCCTTTCTCTTCCATGGATGTGAGTCATGCTGGCACAGCCTGCTTCCACTCTCCTTTCACAATAGCCTTCATGGGAATTTCACCCAAAGTCAGTCTTGGTTTTCTAATTCTATTTGGTGTCTACATCTTTCAGGACCCAAACGTACACCATGCTGGGGGGGGGGGGAAGATGTATTTGTCTTTTTGTCACTGCAATATTTCACTCAATAAATCATCCATAGTCATCCATTTTGTATAATATTTCATGAGTTCTTTGTTCTTTCAGTGCTGCATAATATTCCAGTGCCTTCACAGCTTCTCTATCCATTCATTTGTTGATGAGCACTTGGGTTGTTTCCAACCCTTTGCTATTGTGAACAAAGCAGCAGTAAATAAAACAGGACTGACATGGGGGTTGGGGGGAAACTAAGAAAAGAGGGGATAAATAATATACACAGCATTGAGACAGACAAAGGAGAGAACTGTATAAAAGGAATATATGATTAGGTATTATTGTCATGACAAGAGTCCAGGATAAGAGCAGCATTGTAAAGTGGTTGGGGGATGGGGGGATGGGACTGTATAACAATGAAATAACTTTTTTTTTCCCCAAAAAAAGTGAACTGGGGGAGGGGGGCAGGGAGGAAAATGTGCAACAATGAATGAATGGAAATCCAAGTTCTTGACAAACTTTCATTAAAATCTCAATTAAAAAAATTGTCATAGAAAAATATTTTGAAATTGTAGATGTCTCTTTCTCAACTGAAGATTTTATAGCCTTTCACGTCACCGGTGGTATGTTGTTCTACCAAGCCAAAGTGGTTCAAATCCACTGCCAGGTTGCAGGAGAGACATGGGTAATCGCTCATGAAAATTGCAGCCTATGAAAACCTGCTCAAATTTGTTATGACTCAATGGCAATGAGTTTGAGAGAATACGTATAGGAGTAGTAACATGATATTGTGCACAGGTGAGACAAGTTTTTTTAGATACAATTTTTTATTTTAATTGTGATTTTAAATAAAGTTTACAGAAAAGTTAGATTTTCATTCATTCATTGTTGTACATTTTACCCCCTAACCTTCCCTTCCCCTTTCCCCAGTTCACTTTTAAAAAAAAATATTTATTAATTTTAATGAATGTTTACAGAGACTTAGGATTTCCAGTCATTCATTGCTGCACTTTTCTCCGTCCACTCAATGCCCCCCCCTTCACTCCTCTCCTTGAAAAAAAAACACCCTCTTTCATTGTTATGCAGTCCCTTCCCCCAAGTTCATTCCACTATGCAGCCTTTACTCTGGACTTCTGTAATGAAAAGAATACCCATTCATATATTCCTTTTAAACAGATCTCTCCCTCATCTGTTTCAATGCAATATACATCATTCCTCTCCTCCTTGTCTGTCTTCTCTCAACCCTGATGTCAGTCCCATTTTACAAAAGTGGAACTTTGCAATATTTATCCTTTTGTGACTGAGATATGTCACTCAGCATAATGTCCTCCCGGGTCATCGTTTTGCATAATATTTCATGAGTTCTTTGTTTTTCAATGCTGCACAGTATTCCATTGTATGAATATACCGGAGCTTCTCTATCCATTCATTTGTCGATGGGCACTTGGGTTGTTTCCAGCTCTTTGCTATTGCAAACCAAGCCACAATAAACATGGGTGCGCATATATCTGCTTGGGTGGAAGTTATGGTTTCTTTAGGGTAAATTCCAAGTAGTGAAATTGCTTGGTCAAATGGTATTTGTATTTGCAACTTTTTGAGAAAGCGCCATACAGCCTTCCATAGTGGTTGCACCATTTTACACTCCCACCAACAGTGAACAAGGGTTCTGGTTTCTCCACTACCTTGCCAGCATTTGATGTTTGCTGTTCTCTTAAATTTTGCTATTTTTAGTGGGGTGATATGATATTTTATAGTTGTTTTGATTTGCATCTCTCTTAGAGCTAGGGATCTTGAACATTTCTTCATGTGCTTGTTAGCCATCTGAATGTCTTTTTAATGAAGTGTCTGTTCATATCCCTTGGGTAGGAAGACTCAATATTGTGAAAATGACAATACTACCAAAGGCAATTTACACGTTCAATGCAATTCCAGTACAAATACCAATTCCATTCTTCAACAAGATGGAGAAGGCAATTCCAATTTTATTTGGGATGGAAAGAGGCCCAGAATAAGCAAAGCATTCCTTAAAAAGAGAAACAAGCTAGGAGGCATCTCACTCCTTGATTTCAAATCCTACTACACTGCCGTGGTGATCAAGACAGTACCAGTTGTACTGGTACAATGGCAGACACATAGATCAATGGAATAGAATTAAGAATCCAGAAATCAACTCATCTACATATGATTAACTGATTTTTGACAAGGAGATGAAATCAGTTAAGTGGGAAAAGGACATCTTTTTAAACAAATGGTGCTGGCGAAAATGGAAAACTATCTGCAGAAAACTCAAGCAAGAACGACACCTGATTCCACACACAAAAACCAATTCAAAGTGGATTATGGACCTAGAACTAAAACCAAGGACTATAAACTTCATTAAAGTAAAACTTGGAAGAACACTAGAAGTACTAATCCACAACATAAAGTTTTCTTCCAAGCATCCTGGAAAATCTACAACAACCAGGAGAGGATAAAATAGATAAATGGGACCTTTGAAGACTTAAATCCGTATGCACATCCAAAAACTTCTCCAACAGGGTAAAAAGGGAAGCCACAGATTGGGGAAAAATATTTGGTAATGACATGTCTGACAAGGGACTTATATCTAGAATTTATAAAATACTTGAGCACCACAACAAGATAAAGGTAAATAACCCAATTGAAAAATGGGCACAGGATATGAACAGGCACTTCACCAGTTCACTTTTTTTTTAAAAAAAAAGTTTTCATTCTTCGTTACACAATCATCTCACTCCTCTCCACCTCAGTCCTCTTTGCAATGTACCTCTTATTCTGAAATGTTGTATGTATAATGGCTAATCATATATTCCTTTTAAACAGTTCTTTCCTTCATCTGTTCCAATGCAGTGCTTGTTATCTATTCACTCTTATTCTTTTCTCCTCCCAACCCATGTCAGACCTGCTCTATAACAGTGGTGCAATGTAGTATTTGTCCTTTTGTGATTGAGATATTTCACTCAACATACTGTCCTCCAGGGTCACCCGTGTTGTGTAATGTTTTATGAGTCCATTGTTTTTTCCATGCTGCATAGTATTCCATTGGGTTTGAGAAAAGATAAATGTGTGACTCATTTTTGTACTTTTCATTTCAACATTTTAAAGTGTGACAAAATTATTAACTTCTAAATGTTTAATTTTTTGCTTGGGATCATAGTACTCTTTTCAACACATAAGAATAGGAATTTAAGCATTAATATTAATAATAGAAAACTCTACCAGAAGTTTAAGCTGGTTTTAGAAGAGACCAAAGCACTAGGGACATCATTGCTGATGGATCCTGGATCCATAGAAAATAGAGAATACCGGAATACCGTTTTGTGTTTTACTGTATGCAAAGGCATTCGATTGTATGTCATCACAAGTTATGGGTGAAGATAGAACACACTAGCATACCACGACTATGGACCAACAGTTCTCACCAGAAGCTACTTCTGTATCCATGGCACATTAGAACAACATATAAAGACAGGTTTTGGTTGTCAACACTTGGATGTAAGATTTAAGTTATTGCTTACATTTTTTTGGGGGGGGAGATTAAAGTATATCCACTATATTTTTACATTTGTTATTATTATTATTAATTTAAATGAACATTTACATAGATTTTAGATTTCCATTCATTCATTGTTGCACTTTTCTCCCCGCCCCCTGCCACTCCCAGTTCGCTCTTCTCTTTGAAAAAGAAAAGAAAAATTCCTTCATTGGTATACAATCCCACACACCCCCCCCCAAGTATACTCCACCCTGCAACCTTCATTCCGGACTCTTATGATAATCTTAATACCCTATAATATATTGCTTTTAAACTGTTCTCTCCTCATCTGTTTCAATGCAATGTATGTAATTTATCCAGCTTTTCTCATTCTTACCCCAACCTTGATGTCAGTCCTATTTTACAACAGTGGCACCATGCGGTATTTGTCCTTTTGTGACTGAGATACTTCACTCAGCATAATGTCCTCCAGGCTCACCCATTTTGAATAATATTGCATGAGTTCCTTGTTTTTCAATGCAGCGTAGTATTCCACAGCTTCTCTAGCCATTCGTTTGTTGATGGGCACTCAGGTTATTTCCAACTCCTTGCTATTGTGAACAAGGCTGCAATGAACATGGGTGTGCATATATCTGCTTGGATGGCAGTTATCTTTACTACTGGTAAAGTGGACAAAAGACAGAGATGCCACTGCTGCCAATTTGTTATGGTATTCCTGGAAATTTGTGGAGCAAAGCAATGTGGGTGGCACAAGGAATATCTGAGGATGCCCAGGACCGAGGAATCCAGTGGAAGACCAAGAGTTCTTAGAGGGCTGAGACCATGTCTGTTCTGTTCCCCAGGTGTTTCTGCTTTTTCAGGGCCCACACAGTACTCCCTCCTTCACCAGTGGTTCATTTAGTCTTTGTCTCCATCCACACACACAGCTCTGTCCCTCACCTCTAAGTATCACCTGGGTTCGGGTCTAGCGTCACAGAGGCACACAGCTCCACTGGTTCCAGTCACAGGGCAAGCGAACAAGCTGCAGAATATGGCTTATATTTTGCATCACTGTGTTGCTCTTCTGTGTGTGACCATAACTGGGGAAGCCAAGATTTTCCACAGTCTGGATCTGGTAATGGAGGACATGTGAGATGAGACCATGGCCCCAATACTCAGGCACAGTTGTTGCCATTCTCATCTCTCCAGTCTGATCCATCAAGTTCCAGGACACAGGGGTCCCCTCAGGCCCCAGGAGACAGGTGCTGGGGAAGGCCTTGATACAGCGTTCAATGAATCTCTGGCTTCTCTCATTGCCACCAAAATGCCAAAGTTTATTCACCAAGGAGGCATGGCTGACATGCAGGGATGAGAGTCTGAATACTTCTTGGTTGCTATGGAGGGGAGCGAGAGAAAAGCAAAGCTCATGATTAAGGTGTTTTATAAAGAGGCTTAGTGGTGGAATCAGTTCAGCACTTGGCTAATAACCAAACAGCTGTGTAGACCTACCTGAGAGCTTGTGGGAAAATGACATAGTGATCGACTTGCATAAACATTACAATCAACAAACAAATCTCTGTCACTTGGGGTGGTTATGAGTCAGAAACATCTCACTGGCAAACAACAACATGAAACCATATGTAGCAAAAATAACTCGCCCTTCACTGCTGGCATCAGAATTGAAGGCAGGATCATCCACAGCTTTCATTATGAAGATAACACATCTTTGCTTATGGAAACTTAAGAGGATTTTATGCATTTACTAAAGAAAATCAAAGATTATAGCCTTCAGTATTAGATCACACCTCAACAAGAAAATAAAAATCCTCACAATTGGCCAATAGGCAAAACAACATAAATGGAGGGGAAAAATGAAGTCTGAATGATTTTGTTTTACTTGGATCCACACCCAACAATAACGGAAATAGTCAAGAAACCAAATGCCATCTTGCCTTGGTCAAATCTACTATTAAGGACATCTTTAAGAGGAAGGATTTTAAGAGTCTGTTTAGAGACTAAGCTGGGTATTTTTCAATTGCTTCATATGTATGTGTGTAAGCTGGGAAATGAATAAATAGAGGCAAAGAAAGGATTGGTGCCTTTGAGTTGTGGCATTGACAAGGAATACTTACATACCATGGACTTCCAAAAGAACAAGCAAGTATGTGTTGGAAGAAATGCAGCTAGGGGAGTTCCTTAGGAGTAAGGATGCTTAGAGCCTGCCTCACATACTTTGGACATATGATCAGGAGAGACTTGTCCTTGAAATGTGGTATTGTGCTTGGAAAATGAGAGGGTCATGAAGGAGAGGCAGACTCTGAAGGAGACGGAATGACACAGTGAACAACAGACAGACACATAAGCACAACAGACATGGTGAGCATGGTGCTGGATGGGGAAAAGTTTTGGTTGGTCGTTCACTGTCAATTATAGGCGACTCAACAATACCTAACCACAAAAGCAGCTTGCCTACAAGAGTCCCGGTTGTGTCGTGAGCTAAGTGTGGGACTCTTGTTTAGATTTACACCCTCCTAAGTTTAAGGCAGGGTCACCAGCAGCCAGAAACTACTCTGTGGCAGTGGGTTTGGTTGCTTCTTACTAATCTGAAAGTTGGTAGTTCAGACCTACCCAGGGGCAGCACAAAAGAGAGGCTGACCATGTAAGAATTACAGCCACAAAAATCTCAAGAGTGCTTAGTCTTTGCTGTCACACCCGGTCATTAGTAGCTATTCCCCCCCACCCACCCACCCATACATTGAGTTAGTTGTGTATTTTTTAAATTCTAGAAAACAATACAATTCACAGTGACCCTACAAACAGCCAACATGAAACTTGTTCTATCCTGTGCCATTCTCATCATCTCTGACACACTAGAGACCACTGCTGAAGTCACCACGTCAGTCTATCTCATTGGGGGATCCTCCTCTTCTTCACCAACCCTCCCTCCTTCCAAGCATGATGTCCTTTTCCAAGGAATAGGCTTGCCTAGCTGTGAAAGTATGAAAGACGAAGCCTTTGCCATCATCGCTTTCTAAGGAGCACTCTGCCTGCTCTTTTTCTAAGACGTATCTGTTTATTCCTTTGGGCGTCTGTGGAATATTCAGTACTCTTCTCCAACACCACAACTCAAAGATGCCAGTTCTTTTGTCATTAGTAGTCACTGTCCAGCTCTCTGAGGCATAGCAGGTGATTGAGAAGCCCATGGCCTGAATCAGGTGCACCTTAGTCTTCTCACTGAATGGACCAGAATCCACCAGACAACAGCAGGCTCCGTGAACTTTGACATTTATTCTTTCCTCTCAGAGACAAAGGAGGCAGAAGGGAGAAAGTGAAGCCCTTGCATGGGGAAGGACATGTGATGACAGAGAAGCAGGAAGGCTGGAGGTAAGGGAGGAAATGAACGGGAAGGCCAAGACAGGGTGAAGAGGATTTGATAGCGTCAACGTGAAAGCAGGGAAAGAAGTGAAGGTGCTTTGGTAGAGAGAGCTCTGTGTGGGACAGCGCTGTTTTTATCACACTCACATGGCCTTGGGTGTGCCACATGTGGATGATAAAGTCTTTGCATCCAGCAAGGAAGGAACAAGTTTCTTTGCTGTCTCAAGTGAAAGATAGAGAATGCACCGCGTCTGTTCCGTCTTGAAGTGTTTACTGGCTGCAAGCCTTTGTAGCACGTCATTCAGGCTGGACTGTGAACCTAGATGGATTATGAGGAGAGAGAGATACAATTGCATAAGCACCTTCAAGGGAGAAGTACCTCAGTGGAGAAGGAAGTGTCTGCATTGGCGACTCAGAAAACCTCGGTCCTGAGTTTGGTGGTACTGCTGCTGCTGTGTGACTTAAAGCATGTCCCATTATTGACATAAGGGAGCTCTGGTGGCCAAGTGGCAAAAAAACTGTGTTGCAATCCTGAAGGTATGTGGTTCGAGACCACCAGCTGCTTCATGGGACAAGGATGGGCAGTCTCCTCCCGAGTAATTAACCACTTCTGAAAACCCAAGGGAGGGTCAGCTAAGGGTCAGCGCTGACTCTATGTTATACAACAACAACACAACAACATAAGACCAAGTGTCTAGTTACACCTGACCAGGCCATTTTGGTAACTGAAAGAGACTTGTTGTTGTTATTGTTGTTATTGTTGTTGTTAGGTGCCATCAAGTCGTAGGTGACTCATCGTGACCCTACGAATGGAAGACCTGCGCACTGTTCATAGAGTTTCGGGAGGCAAGCCATTTTGGAAGTGGATGCCGCTCCTGCTTCCAAGCTTGTTTTAATTGCGGAGCTCCACCAAACATGGTCCATCATGGGTAACCATTCTCACATTTGACACATCAGTGTCACAGTGTTTAGCATCACAGCAACCATGAGTTATCTCTGTACAGCAATGCACAGACCAGTGCTATGTCACTTAGAAGAATGTTTGACAAATAAACAATTTGAAACAGGCCTGAGGGCCCTGCGGGGATTTAAGCCACTACCTGCCTTCAACCCTAGGTCCAGCCTCCAGAGCCTTGTTCCTTGGGGAAAGAACAGTACTGTACCTCAAACACCAGCCCCCCAAAAATCACACGACCCCAAATACTTGCCATTACTTGCGCACATGGACCACCATACACAGGTAGCAAGGAACAATAGCATCCAACGTCTGTAAATTCTCAAAATGGCAAAGAGTCTTGTCAGTCACTGAGTCTTACTGTGGTCATGTGACTTGCTTGAACCAATGGGATAGAAGTAAATTTTACAGACTTCAACAGACTTAAAAATACTTACACAAGGGAGCTCTGGTGGCCTAGTGGCAAGAAGCTACACTGCAATCATAGAAATAAGTGGTTTGAATCCACCAGATGCTCTGCTGGAGAAGGAGGGGCAATCTCCTCTTGTACCAGTCAGATCTTATTTAACGGTACACACACAAAATAATAAAATTTAAAGAAAAAAAATTTTTTTTAAAAGTGCTTGCACATTGGAACTTGCCTTCTAGCCCCATCCCCACCTCTTTGGGCACACAATCACCAGTTATATTTTCAGTAATATTACCATGAAGGACATGAGTCTTAGAAAGGCTACATCACTTGACTGAGATCACACAGCAATGAAGATAAAGTGCAAGAATGCCCCCTTGGGCGTCTGACTCCAGAGAGCATGCTCATAACCAGGACGGTTGTCCGTGGAGACCTCGAAGAGACGCTCTGTGCCACAAGGAGCTGTCATTGTTAGTCCAGGAAAAGGAGACCAGAAGGAAGCTTTGCTCCCGCAGCAGCCAATCCCTGCAATGAATCCTCAGTTTCTTTGCCAACTACATCATAAGTCATTAGCTACCAAGTAATGAGCTTAATTCCCATAGGAAACCAGGAGCTGTGGTGACGCAGTCCCTAGAGAACCAAACTTCTGACAGATCACCCCTCTCCGCTGGTTCTAATCCCTCCACAGCTCCGCAAGAGACAGAGAAGCACTCTCCTCCCGAGCCACGTAGAGACTCAGATCCCAATGCAGGGTCAGATCGGAGTCTGCTCTCGTTCAATGACAATGAGTTCAAAGTTGTTTTAATATGAAACCTGTGGTGAGATCCTGACTGGTGAAAATGGTTACAGATTGAAGTTTGAGATAATTTAGAGGTACCGTGGAAGAAAGATTTCACAGTTACTTCCAAGAAAACCTACCACCGAAAAACACGTGGGACATGGGACACAGGTCTACTCTGAGAAGTATAGATTGTCTTGAGTCAGAGGAGACTCCCTGCCCGTTGATGTTGGAAGCCTAGTTTTTCCTAACTCTAAGGTAATTTAATTGTCAAAAGTTTCCCCCTTTAGTTATTTAGTTGGAACTGAATGGGAATAAATGGCCCGCAGACAACAGTGTGTCATAGTGGGAACTTTTCAGCCCCAAGAAACAAGTTCACACAGATCACAGTCCTCTTACTTTGGATTTGCAAATGCTGCTTCCAGTTGATGACTTCCGGTGAGCTGAGGCAGTCCAGACAGTTCTCCAAATCCTTGAAGTAGACTTGGTAAGTGTTGATGTAGTGATCAAGGTCATCCGTCATCTCCTGGTTGCATCAGGAAAAGGAAGCAAATAAAATTTGTTTCTGTTTCAGGATCGCATTGCTGGTTTTTGGCATTTCACTACACTGAGACTGTCTAAGTACTGAAATGTCACTTCTTCAAGTGCATGATCATTGTTCTGGAGTCGAGAGAATCATGGGATCAAGATCAAAGATTCAATTCTTAAATTCATGTTGTAAAACTACAGCACAATATTTTTGACTACATATATATGACATTAATATTCAAACCAAAGCTATACACATGAAAAAACATTCTTTTATACCTCCATAATCCACTATAGGAGGATGGTAAGAGCAACTTGATAAGGAATAACTCCTGTTACAGGAGCTAATTTTACTACAGTTCAACTTCTCACTGAGCGTTTAGGTGATGAACCCAATAGTGTTGAATATGATACAGGTGAAATAAATATGGATAAAAATATCCAAGAAACAAAATTTGTCTTAGAAAAAGTGCAGTCACAGCGCTCCTTAGAATGAAGGAAGGTAAGACTTTTCATATACTTTGGGCTTCAGGGGGGACAGTCCTTGGAAAAGGACCTTGTGCTTAGGAAAGTAGATCAGAGAAGGAAAAGAAGATTCTCAAGAGAAGGCTTGACCCAGTGACTACACCAGCAGAGATTGTGAGGATGGCATAGGATCTGACAGGGTTTTGTTCTGTGGTACTTGGGTCCTGTGTGCTGGAGGGACCTAACGACAAAAACCAGTGACAACATCCATACCTAACAAAACCAAAGAAGAGGAAGACTAATTAGGACAGTTTTCTTTGAAAAGGCCATCGTTAAATTGCTGCTCTAGAAAGACAAAAAAACTAAAATTATTGAACAGATAGGATTATTCAGGATAAGAAGACATAGAAAAATATTACCAAGTAGTATAACATTAGTGTAGATGAACACTGGTGCACAAAACATACATTGCAGGTTAGTAATGATCCCATTGAAACATTTTGTTCCTTTAATCATTTGAGATCAAAACATCAGATAATATTATTCTAATCTAAAATTTTTTTTAATTTTTTTTGTGTGTGTATGTGTACCATCAAATTGGACCTGACTAGTACAGGAGGAAATTGCCCTTCCATCTACAGCAGAGCATCTATCTGGTAGATACGAACCATGTGCCTCTGGAATTGCAGTTCAGCTTCTCACCACTAGGCCACCAGAGCTCCTTAAAATCTTATTTTTAAAGTTCTTCTTTCTATATATTCTCTAATATAGTGATTTTAAAGCAACATTTCTTATATTACAGGCATATTAACTTTTTATAGGTTTATCTTTCTATTTGTTGTAAAAGAAACTTACTTAGTTTTGAAATGTATTAGCAATCTAAGGGCCCACCGGTGGCCTAATGGTAAGGAGCTGCCCTGCCAACATGAAGGCACATTCAGCTCCACTAACTGCTTCACAACAGAAAGATGGACAAATGTCTCCTGTGTGATTTACCGCCTCTGAAAACCCACTGAAGAAGGGTCAGCGATGAGTCAGTACCAACTCCTCTCCCTCCAATTAGAAACAAATAAACAAACAAACAAACCTCACTCAAAATATATTTGGAAAATGTAGCTTTGTAATTGTAATTGTACTTGTAATTGTAATCTTGCCCCTTAGAATTAGCCTGACTCCTTGTGCTGCTTTGCTCCAGCGTATCTTTGTTCTATTTCCTCTGTTTAGAGTGCCTCTTACTTTTTCCAGTCTGAGAAAAATGTTTATTTACAAAATCAAGTCCTGCTGAGACTTCCACCAAAAAGTGTCTCTAACTCTTTCTCATAACCTCCATCAAATGTAGTTTTAATCAGCTTTCACGTGGGCTCTTTCTGTATCTTTCTATCATCTCTTTTTTTGTATCTTACAACATGTACTAATGTGTCAATCTGCCACGTCTTCCAGTCTGTGAACTTCTTGAGGAGAGAGATTTATTCTCTCATATTGCCCCATAACTAGTGTTTCTGAATCATGAGACTCATAGAATCACCAGAGTCTTCACTATGTCAGCTTAGTGGCAAGGAACTGCGCTGTCAATACAAAGGTACATGATTCAAATCCACCTGCTGCTCTGTGGGAGAAATATGGGCAATCTCCTCTTGTGCAATTTACTGCCTCTTAAAACCCTCTGGAGGATCAGCTATGGATTGGTTCTGACTCCACAGTAACAACAACAACAACAATAACATGATTTATGCCTTCCAATTCCAGGATTTCCATAATGCCATGATAGGTACCCAGAAAATGGGGATGTTGAAGCCTACTCATTTCACACCTGATGTCTTACCTGTTCCTCAGGGCGTGTGACCACTGTATTAAAGTCTGGCCACTTGTCCACTAAGGCCTTGAGCTTAAATGGGTTTCCCTGGTTCATGTGGAAGACAGTTCCATAAACCTGCAGCCAAGAAAGTTGAAAGGTGGACACGTTAGGGTGGAAAGGCAAAGCACCTTGTGTTTGACCAGAACAGTGATTGTTTCTATGAAGTCATGAAACTACGTGGCAGAAAGGGAACAAAGAGAGATGACATAATCTTCATAGATTACATTGTCACCCCAAATGAAAATAGCTTTTTGCTACATCAAATTATAAGACTTATATATTCAGTGAAATATTCAAACAAAGATGACTTTAAAATTCCATTTTTATTGATATTTAAAGATCATTTTCAAAACATATTTCTACATGTGCTATTGTTAAGTGCCATCAAGTTGACCAGGACTCATAGTGATGCTATGAACAAGCTCCAAAAGGCACCCTATCCTGCACCATCCTTGTGATATCTGACATGCTCAAGTTTATTGTTACAGTCACTGTGTAAATCCATTTTGTTGAGAGTCTTCTCTTTCTCTGACACTTCACCTTTCCTTTTCTTCAAGGACTAACCAAATTTACAAAAATAAAATTGTTATACACTATTATGCAGTCTGGTTTTTCCCTCCCTGTGAACACATTGTGAGTATATTTCCGTATAAACACATGCAAACATTTTAAACTGTCTTCTAAAGGCTGCACATTGTTGTTGCATGCTATCAAGTTGGAACCGACCCATAGCTAAAACCTCCAGCGGGTTTTTCAGAGGCAGTAAATCTCATGAGAGGAGACTGCCCATCCTTCTCCCTCATAGGATCTCATTATGTGACTATATCACTGCTCATTTATTCATGTGACTATTAATAGTCATTTCCTTTTTTCCAATTTTTCAGTCCAAAAAAGTATTCCTAATGGAACATGTTTACACAAAAACCACTGTTAGTACCTGCTACATTTCTAAGGAAATGTAAAAGGGTTATGTGCATATTTAGAGCTTTTGGATATATAATTCAATATTACCATCTAGAAAGTTTAAATGAATTCCCACAGAATAGAGACTACACCTTAGTGCCCATAAGATTAAGCTTTAGGGTCTCATAGTTGGATCCATCCCTCGTGGTCCACTCTAACATGTAGGACAGGGTATTAGTATTTGTAAATATCCATTTAATCACTTCTACCCTCAAAGAGACTAAGATACACCTGATCCAAGCCGTGATCTTTTCAATTGTTTGCTATGCATCTGAAAGTTGGACAATGGTACAAATGACAGAAGAATCCTCTATGCCTTTGAGTTGTAGTATTGGAGAAGAGTGCCATTTGGTACCCCATGAGCTGCCAAAGGGAAACTCAATTTGTCTTGGAGAAAGTGCAGCCAGAGTACTTCTTGGAGGCAAAGATGGTGAAGTTTTGTCTCACATACCTTGGACATGTTGTTAGCAGGGGCCAGTGCTTGGAAAAGGACATTACGCTTGGAAAGACAGAGGGTCAACATAAGAGAGGAAGACCTTCAAAGCGATGAATTGGCTCAGTGACTGTAACAATGGGCTCAAGTATTTCAGTGATGATTAACACAGCATAGGATAGGGCAGAGTTTAGATCTGTTGTTCATAGGGTCACTATTGGGAGACAGAGAGAAAAGGGAGGGGAGAGACTTGGAGGATGTGACACAAGAAAGCAGAGTGTTGTTGGGCAAATCATGTAACTAAATTTTCTTTTTTTCTATCTGTTACATGGAAATGGTAGCAAAATCTAGTTGTAAAAAAAAAAGAGCAAGCCAAACAAACAAACAAACAAATGTGCAACTGTCAAACTGATTCCCACTCACTGTGACCCAACAGGAGTGAGTAAATCGCCCCCTAGTGTTTACAAGGTGTAAACTTTGCAGAAGCCGAGTCCCGCACCACTAAGCAGAGTCCACTTAGCAGCTGGGGGATTTTATCCACCAACCTTTCAGTCAGCACTTAGGTACTTAACCCCTGGGCCTGCCAGACTCTGTGTCTTCTAGAGAGACTGAAGAAATTACACGGAAAGAAGGATGAGAATGCCTGGTACAGAACAGGCTTTCAAGAAAAATCACTTTTTCTCCTTTTTCATAGACAGCTACCATTTCTTGCTCCCTTTGCCATTTTTGTTCTCACCTTTAGGGATTCAGGAAGGCTCTTCCTCAACGATTTCTCCAGCATTTGCAGTGTTTGGGCTCCTTGCAAGTGAAGCATTGTGGAAGACCCTTCAGTCTGGAGGGAAGACCCAGAAACAGCAAGCCATAAGGGAGGCTCCGAAATCAGAGTAACACAGTCAATGCTGACGGCCACGTCTTTAGAGTCTCCCCACTGTTCTTTTCATCACTAAAGTCCTCATCAGTTCAGCACAGAACCAGCCTGGTATAGCAGCAAAGGGTTAAACCAGGTGGCTCCTTGGAGGCAAGGATTCTGAGGCTCCGTCTAACAGACTTTGGACATGTTGTGAGGAGAGACCGGTCCTTGGAGAAGGACTTCATGCTTGGGAGGGTGGAGGGGCAGTGCAGGAGGGGAAGGCCCTCTATGAGGTGGATTGATTCAGTGACTGGGGTAATCAGGATGGGAGTGTCAGAGACAGTGCAATTGGCACAGGACAGAGCAGAGTTTAGGGCTGTTGTACATAAGGTCGCTATGAGTCGCAGGTGACTCGACGGCACATAACAACAACTACAACAACAACTCTTCAGCCAATTCTATCCTTCAATTTCAATATTAGACTCACAAGCCTATCATTCAAATATATTTAGAATCTTTTGAAATGAAATTGGTTTAGGTGACGTTCCTGTTTTTGGTGACATATTAGGAAAGAGTTACTGGGCAGTGCAAACGATTAAGACATTAACTGGTGGCAGAAACTTGGAGATTTGAGTCCAAGCGTAAGAATCATGGAAGAAAGACCTGTGATCTTCTGAAAATCAGGCCATCGAAAGCCTTTTGGAGTCAATTCAGCCACAACTGATCTGTTGGTTGATTAGAATCTTAGGAGAAGAATTTAGCCTCTCTATCCAGTATTCATATCTACCAGCTGTTTGGAGAGAGAAGGATGGGCAGTCTCCTCTGGTGCAGTTGACAGCCTCAGAAAACCTACTGGAAGGTCAGTTACAGATCGGCTCTTACTCAGTGGCAATACGAGTATAGTTGATAGTTCTTGCCGATGCCTTCAGTGCAGGTCACACAGTGCTTCCTGAGCCGGTTCAGCACTGACCAATTCTTTCTGATACATTGACTCTGTGTATCCTTTGCATCTTCTTCCTCCATCATTCAATATTTTGTCCATAAAAGTCCGAGGACCTGAAACACTTGCTGCAGAAGATCAAGGACTGCAGCCTTCAATACAGATTGAAGCTCAACAGCAAGAAAACAAAGATTCTCACCGCTCGGCCAATTGGCAGATTGGATGGCGAAGAGATTGAGAGTTAATAGTTTTGGTTGACTTGGTTCCACAGTCAACACTCTTGGTACCAAAAGCCAGGAAATCAAGACACGAATTGCATTGGGAAAGTCAGCTGGGAGGGACCGCTCAAGAGTAGTGAAGAGCAATGGCATCAGGCTGGAGACTAAGGTGCGCCTGATCCAAGCTGTAGTTTTTGCAATTATATCCTATGCATCAGAGAGTTGGACAGTGACTTGGGAATGATAGAAAAAGAATTGTTGCCTTTGAGCTGTGGTGCTGGAGAAGAGTGTTGAATATACCATGGACTGCTAGGAGAACAAACAGGTTTGTCCTGGAGAGGGTGAAGCCGGACTGCTCCTTGGAGTCAAGGATTCTGAAGCTTCACCTGACATACTTTGGGCTTGTTGCAAGCAGGGACTGGTCCTTGGAGAGGGACATCAGGTTTGGGAGAATGGAGGGATGGTGCAGGAGAGGAAGACCCTCAATGAGATGGATCGATTCTGTAGTTGGGGGTGGTGGTAGTGAGTGTGTTTGAGACGGTGAGGTTGGCACAGGATAGAGCAGGGTTTAGGGCTCTTGTACATAGGGTTGCTATGAGTCGCAAGTGACTCGACACATAACAACAACAACATTGTAACTTGAGGATTAATTTTTTTCTCAAGTTCTTCCAGCTTTAGAAACGCTGAGTGTATTCTTCCTTCTAATGTTTCTAATTCCAGAACTTTGCAAATTTTGTTATAATGCTTTGCTTTGTCTTCTGGAGCTGCCCTTTGACATCGTCTCAGCTCTCTTATGTCATCATTTCGGCCTTCTTGCTTTAACTTTTATCCTTCTTGTTATATGCCATTGAGTCAGAACTGACCCATAGCTGACCCTCCACTGAGTTTTCAAGAGGCTGTAAATCACATGGGAGGAGACTGTCCGTCTTTCTCTCGCAGACTAGCTGGTGGATTTGAACAGCCTGCCTTTGAGTCAGAAGCATAACCCTTGATCCTCTGGGGTTAGGTGCCATCGAGCACTTACAGGTCCTATGAACAACAGATCCCAATGCTGTCCTGTCCCACACCATCCTGATCGTCCCAGGCACACTTGAGTCCATTGTTGCGGTCCCTGTATCAATCCCATCTCATTGTGGGTCTCCCTCTCCTTCGCTGGCTCTCTACCTTTCCAAGCAAGATGTCCCTTTCCAAGAAATAGCCACTCCTAAAAACATGTCCAAAGTGTGTGAGATGCAGCCCAGCCATCCATGCCCCTAAGGGACACTCTGGCTGTACCTTCTCTAAGACATAATTATTTGTTCTTTTGCCAGTCCCTGGGCTGGTCAGTATTCTTCTGCAGCACCACGGCCCAAAGGCATCGATTCTTCTTCTATCATCCTTATTCATTGTCTAGCTCTCAGAAGCATAGCAAGTGATTGGAAAGATCATGGCCTGAATCAGACAAACCTTAGTCCTCAAACTGACATCACTGCTCCTCATGTCAGGACAAGTCCTTGATTATAGACATTATCAGTACAAAGGTGGTAAAGGTTATAAAGCTTCATCTTACATACTTTAGACACGTTGCTAGGAGAGGATAGTTCTTAGAGAGTCATATCATCCCTGGAAAGGTTGGTGACGGAAAGGAAAATCCTCAACCAGGTGGATTGATACAATGACTGCAGCAATGGGCTCCAGTGTATCAGAGGTCTTGAGGTTTACACAGGATCAGATCTGTTGTTCATAGGGTCGGTATGAGTTGTACTTGACTTGTCAGCACCCAAGAACAACAACAAGAAATGTGAGTTACGCCTGGTTAATTGGTATTTTGGTTATACCAGCTTATATAGTGCTGGGTAATGTTCTGATGCATAGCTTAGTTACTTGGATTCAGTTGGATAATAGAAAGATTTATCTTTAGATGTTGTTTCTATGGATCTCAAGCAGACCTTATTTAGTCTTCTTGCTAAAGCAAATATCTTACTGGATGCCTCTTACTAACCTTTTCCCACTCTGATCTGTGGGAATACAAACTTCCAGTTTGTACAAACTATTATCTACAAAATTTCCAGCCTTGTGTGAGCAACAAGGAGTTTTCTTTGTAGTCATTCTAATGGTTCTTTCCTAAAATAAAGTAGTTTTCTTTTCTGTATGCACAGAAACAGAATACAGAACCTAATAGAATTGCCCCATCAGGTTCTCAATGCTATAAAGTTGTATAGAAGCAAATTGCTGCTACATCTTTCTCCAGTGGATTGTTTGATTGGTTCAAATCACCAGTCTTTCAATGAGAAGCCTATAACTTAATGCTTAATTGTATTATATCTCTATCTCTATATCTATCTATATCTATTTATCTATCCAGAGGAAGGAAGGAATAAGAAGGGAATAATAAAGGAAATGGAAAGAGGAGAATATTGTGCCTGCCCATGCATACATAGTCCAGCATTATTTCATGGTGCAATTTCTATAGAAAGATACATCCCATTAATTCATTGTAGAAGTAAGTGAATGGATTAATTCAACCCACAGTGTGGAGATTTTTACAGAAGACATTATGAAGAAGAGGAGGAGAAAAGGAAGAAGAGTATAGTAATGACGAAACAACATATGGTCAATGCTTATCTTATGTCAGTCTTCTAAACCCTTTGCATATACTGACTTATTTAAGCCCCACAAAAATCCCATGAATTAGATACTGCTATTATCTTCCTAGGTAAGAGTTACTTTGGGGATTGTGGTGTTGTTGTCCTCACTCATCTTTCTCTGGCGTATCAGCTGGTGGGTTCAAACCTTACACCTTCGAGTGGGCAGTGCTGCTTCAGACCACTGGACCACCAGAGTTCCTTTGGCAGAAAGCAAGGCCTCAGAAATTGATGGAATACTAATTGAGACATTTCAGCAAACAGATGCAGCTCTGGACATGCTTATCAGTCTCTGCCAGTATATTGGGAGACAATTATCTGGCTGGATGCTTTATTATGTACAGCAGGATTCTTAACTGCTCCCATTGCAGAAAGATAGGCATATTTTTTTCCATCTTGACATTTTTTTATTAATTTAGATTGTTTATTTTTCATTTCAATGAACATCTACAGAGATTTTGGAATTCCATTCATTCATTGTTGC